AAAGGAAAGGCAAGGGAGGAAGACACAACACTTCATCATCATCACAACACGGCAGGCATCTATCTGTTTCTGGTTCAAACGGGAGGGGGAAAGGCAAAGGGGGCGGTCCAGGGTCGGGAAATCTGCTTTATTAGAAAAGGCGAGCGCGCTGCTCAAACGACACGAAACTCTTTCATTGTTATTTTGCTGCTGCTTTCTTGTCTCGGGGTCACATAACCTGTCGTTTTCTCTGCGGTTTCTTGTTCTTTTTCATGTGCTGACGACAAACATTTTTCCAACCAATTTTTCTGTCTTTTTCTTGTTCAAAGGCTTATCCACAATCCCAAATGCACATACAAACTTTTCTCTCCAAATTTCTTGCTTCCAAACAAAATCTTGCCTTCCAACAAACAACGCGTCTTTTCCGCTTGAGCCAAATTTTGGGCGTCGTCAAGGTTTTCTTTACCCTAATTTGGTGGTTGTCTTGTTTGGAAAATACCCTTCCCGCGCGCCTCTTGACCGTACCTCACTCAGAGTTCTTGCACGTATCCTACTTTTGATTGTGTTTACATTATTATCAAGTTGACTTTTTGTACATTACTTTGAAATTTAAGCAGAAGCTTTGCTTTCCGAGACCATGTTTTAAGTACATACATATGCCATTCTATTCTTCCAACTGTCCAAATCTCTCTTCTCCTTCTGCAAGCAAAGCGAGTCATACAGTGTATCTGTTCAACCTCTAATCTACACACTGTTTTTCTGTACTTGAATATCATGAGGTCGGCGTGTGTGGCTCACGTCACTCGTGGTTGGTTCACGAGCATGGGGCAGGCGGTAGTGGGATCTCAAGGGCGGGAGAGGAGGCAAAAGAAAGCATCCGAAACGGAAACTCCATGTCGGTTAGGCACGCACGCACACACGATGCTGTGTCGTTGTTTTTTTGCCCAACATATTTTGTACGTACGTCCAGTCGCTTATGCGCTTTCCGTCAGAGAAGCTGCATCGCGAGAGACATTAGCCATCGTCATAACTCGCCTCCGTGGCGAAGCTAGCAACGACCGATTGCATATGCATCAAGGAACTTCACTCCGTGGAAAAACTCGTCACCATGTCTCGAATGCCTTGGAACCCCTACCCATGCTCCTCGAGCGCTGTCTGGCTAGGTTTGTGAAGAAAAGACAAGCCGCGGCGGCGGCCCATGTTCGTTCGCCTCCTTCTCCGCCCCCAGGTCCTTCGATGCCGCGGATTGTGGGGAACCAGCCCGAAATGTCCATCTCCTGCAACGTGGTTGGTCGGCTGAGAAATCCCGTCGGCATTACCTCGCCGGCATCATCTCGGCGGTCCCAGCCGGGAAGGCCCAGACGACGGAGCAAGCGAGGGCTGACTGAAAACCAGGAAAAGAAAGGAGGCATCTTGCCAAGAGCAACTACCTGCTGCCCTTGCTTGGTTGCGATTGGACCCCGATAACGCCCCCGAAGCTGCAGACATGCGTGGCTGCCATGTGGTTGCCATCTAGGCCTGATAGACGCGGGGTCGCTGGGTGCACGCCGTGGGATCAAGACTGGGTTGCTACGCCGTTGTCTGTGTTGGCGCATCCGACTGATTATCCCACGATACTACGGCGCGGGGCGGTACCGTGGTTGCGTTGCACAGGCAAAAAGCAACGAACAGAGCCAGGCGCCAGCTCCGTCTAAGAGCTAAGCTCTCATTGCAGCGATAATCGTTCGATCTGCTCGTCAATGTGACAAGACTTGATCCCCTCATCAGCCGCGGTTCCTTTGCAAGGTAGCATCTGAGGTGCCGTTCAGCCGAGGGTTCCGGGGGGGCTTCGACCGCGGTCGGTCCAAGCGGAGGCATTCACATCCTCCCTCTTTGATCCTGCTGCATTATGCCTGTCGGCTGATAGCGAACATCTCGTCCTCTGATGAAACTAGACGGCGCGGCAAAAGGCTGTGAGCCTTGAACCAGGGATGGTAAGCCACGATGGTACGACAGCAGAGTCAACAACCAAAACACGATGCCGGCGGCCTGTCCTGCTCTCCAAGTCGCATCTACTTGTCGGCCGAAGACATGCCTGTGAAGAGTTGCAGCAGAAGCACCAGGAGTTCCGTAAGTCCGTCGCTCGACCCATCCGACACCCATGATCCGCATGGCTATCAGACTGTCTGACACCTGCCGAACAGCATCCGCAGCTGGCCGGTCGACGATTCGGCCAGCACAGAATCTCTAGTCGGATTGGGCAACCTCGGAGGCTGTGAGCTGTAGGACCGCTTGTCCACGGCTTGTCCACTCCGTACATGCATGCCTTTGAACCGCGTTCTGCGAGCCTACATGGCTCTGCCCGTGAATCGCGCACGCCATCGTATTGCCAGACTGTTGACTCGGGTCTCGACCTGGTGATACAAAGACAAAGAGCGCAAGACGGGCCAAGTCTGGCGCGATGCTTCCCATTGCCAAAGCCGTCATCTTGTCACCGCGACCAAGATTATCATTACCGCCACAGCAGTCAGACAGAGACATCCTGCGGCAGCCACAGTTGGCTTCGAGTAAGGCAATGGTAGCACCTTGTGTGAGGGAACGGAAAGACGTCGTAGAGGCATATACGAAATCCTCTGGTGCCTGCTGTCTCATGGCGGGTAGCCGAGTAATCGCTCCCGATCCGTCCGTGTACAACCAGGAGACCTAAGCTTACTCTCTGCATGGTAAGGGTGTCCGGACAGCGTGCAACATCCACCCTTGGCCGGTTGAAAGCCGCCCGACTTTTGTGCGCCTGCCCGAGAAATGGTCAGAGTTCGGGAACATGGTGTCAAGTGTAAGCGCGCCCGGCATCGACAAGACGTCTAAACCTTAGCCTCGTCCTACCCACCACAACAAGCCTGGACAAATGGTCATGTGCGTTACAACCCCCGGATTTTCTCTTTGAAATGGGTGCCTACCAGCCGCCTGTCATGTATGCAGGTTGGCTGGATCAGCAAGCTAACGCGAGGCACTTCTGAAAATATGGTTATTCTCAGCGGCGATGGAGTGGTGTGACTGCAGAGCGTCGATCAAGGTTCGCGGAGAGGACAACGTTACCGACGTACCACAGAAGAGGTGGTGGGAGAGATGTGCTTCAGGCACGGCTTATTGCGTTGGGACCACCATTGTCGAGGCAGAGGAACGGCTCGTATGCTTGTTGAGCTAAGGCAGTTAGTTCCCGAAGCGTCAGATCGGGGGAGGATTGTCGAGGGTTACGCTTGGCTCGATGTGTATTCGGAAGGAGACGGCCGACGGCAGAGATCGCCAGTGTGATAGGTGGAGTCGGGACTTGGATGGCAACCGTATTATCCCTCCTTGTCGTGGGCTAGGAATATCATCTGCACCATGCGGGGTATGCTTCAACAATCGTGAGCGAATGTGCAGTTGCCCATGTGCAATCCGATTCGCGCCTTGTTGTCAGCTAACGGGACGGTTCTTTGAAAACTCCTGGCTGAAGAAATAGGGTCGTAGTCAACCGGTTTAGAGGGGTGGTTTCTAGCGGAGATATTGCCGACGAGCCTGACGAGAGCATCGGCGGCCCCTCAACCCTAGTCCACCGGCAGAGCCAAGGTGAAGCTGGACCAATCGCGGTACGCATTCGAAATTGCGAGTTGCTGTCGGCGAGGGGTGCCGTCTGTGACTGTCCAGGGGTGTACCGGTTGACAATCGAAGTTGGCTCTTCTGTGCCGTGGAAAAAGGCCGGCTGTTAGTGATTCTCTCCGAGACGTGATGCTTGTTTTGCTCCGAATGTGACATGACGCCGGACCGTTGACGCTCAATTGAGGGGCAATGCGTAGAGCTTTCCCAGAGACAGATCTTGAGGCGTCAAACCAATTTACGGCTTGCATCTTTCGATATGAATTTGTGGAGTGCATGCTCATTGCATAAATCCCGAGAATGAGGTCTAGGTTGATGAATGAAGTTGAGAACACTAGGTTGGGAGGAAAATCCGGGGAGAGATGAAGTTGCCGTGAGGTGGGGGAGGGGAAGGAGCGATTGTTGGGTGCCTCTGTGGGGCACTGACCTCCGCCGCAATTTATCGGGGGTGTCTAATTTCAACGTCCTGCTTGCAACTTCCCCATTTCAACTCTTTGCACAAATCGGAGAATGACTGTTAGTAACTGGACATGACAATAGAGGACGTCCGAGATGCCAGTTTTGGACAAAGAGTCAACGATATTCTTCTGTTTTCCACACGGCCTCTAAGTCCAAGTTGGAAACCTCCCGAAGGAACACCTAAGGTTAGGCTTTTCCCCCTCGGAATTGATATTCAAGAACACTCTTCAATTGCGCGAAAACTCTGCTACTAGCTCAGACATTGACTACAGCAAAATCTCAGTTCACCGCTTCCACGCCTGCCATCAATGCGGATCAGTATTGTGCCTGCTGTTCCGCCTCAATGTCTGGTTGTTCGTTTTGAGTGGCCAACCTAGAGTCAATAAACAAGAACACTTGCATTAACCACCAACGACTTATTATCTCTTTTCATCCCGACTCTTGATGTTCAAAACGCCAGCCCTGTCAGGAGAAACAATCCTCTTTCAATTTCGTCGTCCATGTCCCCTTTGCCGAGGAGCACCTAAGCTGCCCAAGACCTCATCCAGCCACTTCATTTCTAGGACTAAGTTTGCTTCTCTCGGAAAGCTCATAGTCTCCTGGCAACTCGGCAGTAGTCATGTCTCCAGGCATCTCGTGTGCTTGAGTCGTCGCCGAGCTCCCCCTGAGCGCCGTATCCTCCGGGTGAGGTGCTTGGTGCACTTCTGAACCATGCTTTTCGTACGCAGGTGGGTTGACGTTCGCATTTCCGGAAATTACGCGGTCGTCCCTCGCATGTTTTTTTCTTCGTCTGAGGAAGAATAGGACAAGGCCTATGATCAGGGCCAAACCGAGGACGCCCCCCAACAGCGCCACCTACAATCGTGCCTACAGGCGGTTTAGAGGATGTGCCGGGGTTTTTGCTGCTGGTACCTGCAGAGAAACATCATCGTCTAGCCAATCCCATCTCAGTCTTGTTCTTCGGTATGTGGCCACTTACTTGAAGCAAAGAGCAACTTCACTTGTTCGCTGGACCACTCGACGTTATTCCGGCCACCTTCGTTGTACCACTTCTTCACTACCTCAGGGCTCTCATACTGCTCTGCGCTATCATTATACCGATGTACCCAGCTCATCTGCGTCATATCAAAAACACCCAAACCACGACTCCAAGCAACTTTCTCTAGCCACGACTCCGGGAAACGTTATCTACGCGTTCCCCCTACGGAGAGCATGTGGCGCTTGCCGATCCGAACACAAGCATGGTTGAAGCGCGCAGTTGATGATGTGCTACTGGCTTTTAAAAAGTTGAAGCCGGGGAGGGTCAGGACGTAAACTTCGTCAGAGATACCGTCATCTCTTGTGCTGCCACCGTACATGAAGCTACTCGAACATAGCTATTAGTAAAATGGGCGTAAAAGGAAGTCTAGCTTGATGCTTACATATCATAAGTGTTGTCTGGCCCATTCACGCTTACGGTGCAAAACTTTTGCCTTCTTGTTGGCTGCTCTCCAGTCGTGCGTTGCGTGTGCCATTTCTCATCTAGCTACGCATTAGCCCTGTGTGGCCAGCAGAAGATTTCCTCGAACCTTTAGGATCATATATAGAAACCTGTGAGAAGTTCATCCATTTCCAATCGGAGTCAACGCGTATTGACGGAGGTGCTTGCCGGCCGCCGAGAACGAGGAGTAGTCCCTCAGGCCCGAAAGGCACGGCTTCCATGGAACCACTCCGAAAAGTATTATAATCCCCAAATCCTGTTAACGAAGCATTTCTGAATTTTCCGCCTGGCATATCGTAAGTCACAAGCCCTAGAAGCGCCAAGTATTCATTCCTTGGGCGGTCGACAGATTTATCGGTCTTTGACGTTGCCCACCCACCAACGTAGTAGCCGACATTTCCGATTTGAGCAAAGGCACCTCCCATAGGTCGTTTGATCTTGGTAAAGTCCTTCTGGTTGCTCACCAAGGCATGCTCCCAGGATCCTCTTCCAACACCGTCAGCTTGGAAACGCCAAACCTTTGAGGGTATCACATCGTCGTCATATGATGCTTCGCCGCCCCATACGAAGAATGCTCCTGCGTTATTGTTGTTATCGCTCCAGACAGCCTGGCCCATCAACCTTGGTGCTTCTTTTGGGTTTTCCCTATTATCTGATTTGAACGCCTGAGGTGTCCCATGGCTGTTCTAGTCCGATCGACAGCGTAAAGTTGACTGTTCACCAGTCCTTTCATGTGAGCAAAGGGTAGTCGTAAGGTAGACAATCAAAACACGCACCTGGCCACGACGGATGGTCTTTCGGTAATTTTTCTGTCTCATTGACCAGGAACGATACCTCGCCGCCTTCTATGTAAACGTCATTCCCAACAACGATAGCTTTCAAAGTTAGCTACACGGAACGATAAACAATGTTTACCTTTCGAACCTGAGCAAAGCGATCTCCGTATGAAATCTTCGTTGGAAGGATTACTCTTGTCTTCGAACATGGCCAGACTCTGTGCCGGAAAAGCCAGCAAAGAGGGCCACAGTAAGGACGTGAAACGCATCGGCTTTGCTGCCACGAAAATATGTCGTTCAAGGGCAAGGAGACTGGTGTTTGAAGCTCCAGTGACTTGCGAAGAAGAATTGTGTCTAATAAACAGTGAGTGGGAATCGTACAGAGGCCATAAAGACTCAGTGGGAGGCTTCTGAGGCAGCTGAGACAAATTTCTTCCTTCGCCCCCTCTTCGCCTCAACATCATGAAGGCAAAACTTTGACGTGCCACATGCGGCACCAAAATAGGGAGTACTGGTTACTTCCTATTGTATACAACCTCAAAATGTTCGAAAAAGAGTGAAATGATTGGATGGTCGCATCAAACTCCAGCGGATCTCGTTTCGATTCCGAGACCGTTCCAGCGCTGAGATGAGTGATCGCGGAATTGCGCAGCCTCAGTCAAATTGCGTTGGGATATTTGCCAAAAGGCCTTGGATACTTTTAGCCATCAGATATCAAACATCTAGAGCAACGTACCGTGGAAAAGTTGCCATCTGTTTCTTCCCCAGAGAGACGCAAACCTACTAGATGAAAGTGACTTCTGAGACTCGCAGCACTAGCTTGGTCGTTTGACGCCCGCTCAGCAATTATCAGCGCTGGGTCATGTCGAGGAACCTCGGCGAATTCAGAGCTGAGATTGCGTGGCCTGACTGGATTTGGTGTTATAGATGCCAAGCAGGAAGATGCCTGTGTAGTGTCGATCGAAGACCTATGTCGCCGGCTGGGGATGAGTACCTTACTGTCAGACTTATGACAAGTTTCCCTTGAGCCTCTGAATTTTCAAGCCCATCCCGATTGATTTTGATCAGCTTTGTGGAACCCGCCAATAACTTGAAAGACGTACAGAGAGACGTACTTATTGATTATAATACGTTCGATTTAGCACGAGGATGAAGCAGGTAGAACGGTTGTGGCGACTCGAAAACACAAATAGCTCTTGGTTCTATTGAAAAGCCCGCTCGCTGATGTTGTGTGAAGGTGAAATTAGAAGACTTCTGAGAGGGGAGGTTGATGTTGGCTGCGACGTTCATGCGTTGTACATCTGATGGTTGATGGTCCTTATCGTGAATCAGGAGGCACCCAGGGTTTCCTTCTGCACAAGAAGTGCTCTCATCCCATCCTACCTAAGTTCGGTAAATTTAGAGTCAATCCCTCACGTGAAGAACCGTGGGCATTGTCTGTACTTATAGCGCCCTAGTCTTACTCCATAGTAGCTCCCTCTGGGATTGCAATGAACACTTAATCAAGAGCCATGACTGTCCTTTCACAATCCTTATAGACCACAGTGTACCAAGCGAAATTTGGTAGCCGTCGCGCAAACATTACTCAGACATTAATTTGCGATTTCAACAAGGCGATCTTGCCTCAGCAGCTGCCCGTGACGTTAGGTCGCACTATAATCTTGGCTTTGGAGTGTTGCCATCATGTGTTCGTTTCTCGAAACACATCTATGGATACGGATTGGTTGCTGTCTACCTATGCACCAAGACCAAATCATATATGTGCAAGGTTCAGAAGAACACATTTCGGCATTAGATGTTGACAATAGTTCCTTGTCAAGAAAGTCCGGATCAGAAAAATAGGGCATGGCATGTTTCTTATCTCTTCAAATTCAACATTTCTCTCTTCCGATATTGTGCGAGATTCTGGCTATCTCAGGTCTTATCTCAGGTCTTGTCTGTGACTCTTTGCCTCATGAGTCTCATTCTCCGCCGGCAACTCAACTGGTATTGAGCGACCATGAACCTCAGCTGGACCAGATGAGCCATCCAGCTCCAAAGGACTCGACTGTCCATGAAGCTGGTGCTGCTCAAGAGTATTTTGCTCTCCATAGGCTGTGGACTGTGGGCCATATTTCTGGTACATCGAATCGGTAGCTTGAGTATCGTTCGGAGGGTGCTGTGGAGTTGCAGTGTATGGTTTCTTGCGTTTGGCGAAGAAGAAGGCGAGGCCTATGAGAAGGGCTGCCCCGAAAACTCCCCCAATCACAGCCCCGGCAATGGTTCCAGCGGGGGGTGAAGATGAGCGACTCTCTTCTTCATTAGACGTGCCGTTTCTGTCGGGTGTTGCGGATGATGGTAACTCATCCTGCGATGCTATTGCTTGGTTAGTCAAGTTTCCGTTCAGGGGTCAGACTTACTTACACTTTGAAAACAGAAGCTTGACGTCTTCACTTGTCCAGGTGACATTGTGGCCCTCACTGTACCACTGCCTCACTATCTCCGGAGATTCGTATGCCGCATCCTCAGCGCTGTACCCATCCTTCCAACGCATCTCTGTCATGTCGAATACTCCCAGTCCATAAGGCCAGGGGTCCGGTTCCGCCCATCCTTTTCGAGGGTCGATGCTAGCAAGCCCGCCAACAGATAGCATCTGTCTACGTCCTACCACAACACAGGCTTGATCAAATCGCGGGGCCGATGCACTACTAGCTTTGAAGAAATTGAAGCCAGGGATGCTGAGCACGTAAACATCGTCGAAGACACCCCGACTAGCCCAACCGCCATACAGGAAGCTTGCACACGGAGAGTCAGCATTGAGTCTATTGCTAGAGATAACCTCGACCGTAACAGTAGTGTTCTTACATCTCGAATGTGTTATTGGAACCTAAGACGCCTGTTGAGCAGAAACGTCTCCTTTTTGCTGGTATATCTCCAGTGGTGTTTTGGCGGTACCATCTTTGGGCTGAGATTCTTTCAGATCAGAGAAGTTTCATACTGGGAACCCATTTACTCACCTTTAACATCAAACAACGTGACCTGGTTAAAGTCCACCTCCTTGAAGTCGGTGTCTTTTCTCGACGCAAGAGGCGCCTCTTGACCACCAAGAAAAAGAAGAACACCAGCGTCTCCAAAGGGTAGAAACTGCGAAGACCCTTCCTTGAAAGTCATGTTTTGACCATAAAACTCACTCGCTATATTCTTGATCTCTCCAGATGTCATGTTGTACGATACGAGGCCAGGGTTGGGAATGGAAGTATTTCAGTCCCTGGTGAAGGCGTCGCTCCGTCTTCTCACAATCCCACCAAAGTAATAGCCGGTGTCTTTGCTCTGCGTGAAAGTTCCATACGTCGGCCTGTATAGACTTTGGAACGTTATGGGGTTGGAAGGCGGCGACTCTGCCCACTTGCCGCCTCCGCTACCGTCGGCCGTGAAGCGCCAAATTTCCATTTCTGGGAGTGTACTGTTGTATATCTTTTCCCCAGCCCACGTGTAAAATTCGTTCCCGGAAGGTCCCAGCCAGACCGACTGGCTATCGAGCTTTGGAGAATCCTTAGTAATCGAGTTCATCCGCACGCTCGAGGTGCTCCAGGATTCCTTCAAGCTGATGGAGATCGTCGAGTTCACTGAGGTACAGTTCCCTTTGTATTAGCGCCCTTTTCTTCTTTTCTACTGCCTGTTGTTCTGAGGTTTACCTTCACGAAATAGTCCGGTCCAGTCGTCGCTAGTAACATTCTTCACAGGCGTCTGCGAGACTTCGCCGCCGTCTATGTAAACATAGTCGCCCACAACAGCAGCTTAAACAGATCAGCGATTTCATACACAGATGCTGAGAAATCAAGAAGTCTTACCTGAGCAAAAAGACCTTCGCACGAAAGTAGACTTCGACGGTATATCTTGACGCTCCACGAGCGCTAATCCCCTGAACAGGCCCAGACAATGCGCCCCAGCCGCCATACATGACATGGGGCAAATCGAGAGTCGCATCGTGTAAATCTCTCGTGCGACGAGCTGTTTTCGAGAGGTTTTGAGCTGTCAAGGGGCAGGTTTTAAGGGCGCCCTGAGAACATGAAAGGCAGCATGAGACTTGCTCGCTGGCAAGGCTGGGCTTTCAAATGAAAGCTGTTTTAGGCAACTAAGACACAATGACATTGGAGGATTGGGCCATGATACTAACATTCAGAAAGAGTGGCGAACTTGCTTTAAGCACTGCTAAAAGCCACCAAGACTGCCCAAGCTTGCTCGGCTGATTCTGGCATCTTTTCTGCCTCACTCTGCCAATAGCGAGATCACTCCGATACAAAACCTCCCATGGTTTGCCATGATTGCACTCCTCTGGGGCCTTGGGAATATCGAATGTTTTTATTGTGCTTCATTGAGGCAAGTCTGGGCTGGTGTAAGCGAAGCTGAGGCTGTGATCATGTATGCATGCCTCTGCCTCTTCGATTCGTGCCTCCCGCATGAATGGGATAATGAAGGTGTAGATGGCAATCTGATGAAGGCATCAGCTCAATTTCGAGCACTCGAGCCGCAACTTTTCCTGCACCCACCGTTTCATATTTCCAAATGACGTACTGTGGACATGACTACTATCTTTCCATATCAAACGCAAAGTGAAGAAATCGCTGCTGTTGATGAACTCTAGGATGCATTTCTCGGTGTTCTACCGACCACCGTTTTGTCTATAAAGAAGCTCTTGAGGACCTCGACTTTTGAAGGGATAACCGACTGCGTCAATCTACCTGACCAGCCTTGATGCCTGTGAGACAAGGGCTGGATGGCGATTGCCATTGACGGAATAGATGCCAAGAAGGAGAACTTCGTGTGGTATGGACTGATCGACAAAGCAAGACTCTTCATGA